ACCTCAATTTGTGACTGTTACGACTTACGATTCCAGCCTCGATTATAGTTATAAGTTGAGGAGTATCCCTACTTTCTTGTGCTGCTGAAATTGTAAAGAAACTTTCCTCTCTTTTTATTTCACATTTCCAGATAAGAGGCCAGTTGCTTCAAATTAATATTGTTTACTCCTCAAGATACGTAAAGGTGGGACATGAAATTTGAAAAAAATGTCCCTTAGGAACTTGCACACACAGAGTGAAAAGGGAGCACACAGAATTTAGGAAACTGAATTGGATCAGGAAAGGGAAATTCAAATCCTGGATTAGGTGAAGTGCCATTCGTAGAATGAGCACCATCCAAAAACAATACCCTGGCCGTGTTATTCAGAAAGGATCCTGCTGACTGTTCTTCCTAACTCATCAAATAGTGTTTGTTTGCCATCTTCCCATCTGGTCAAAGCCATGCTGTCACAGGCTTATGCACCAGAAATGAATTCCTTGTCTGTCCAATCACACTTGGTCAACAGATTAACTGTTGGAAGGGACCCTGTAGGTCATCTAGTCCAACCCCCTCCCCAGAGAGGAGACCCTACCTACACATTTTTGACAGCTTGCAGTCCAGTCTCGAAAGCTTCCAGTGATGTAGCTCCCACAATGTCCGAAGGCAACTTGTTGATTGCTCTCACTGTCAGAAAATTCCTCCTTATTTCCAGGTTGAATCTCTCCTTGTTCAGTTTCCATCCATTGTTCCCTGTCTGCCCTTCGGGTGCTTTGGAATATTCCTGGTTCTGTTCTTGTTCTTCCTCCTGTTCCTGTTTCTTATTTCATTCCATATTTTCTATTCTGTTCCGTTCCATTCCACCCTACTCCACTCCACTCTACTAAGAATACCAAGTGGGGGGGAGTTGCTCCCTAGGCGGATTTGGAATTCTCACCCAATCAGCTGAGGCTCCTCCCTCCTTCAGGCTGCTCGGGATCTTCTCCAATCCGCGGAGCCAAATCCACCGGCGGGCTTTGCAAAACTGGGGACCCGGGCGGAGGCACGTGGCGGGAGTCTTCGCTAGCCGTCCCGTCCCGCAGGAAAGACACGGGGTGGCGGGCAGCCCGGGGAGGTCGCGAAGGGGACTCGCTCCCTTTTAAAGCAAGAAGCCGCTCTCGCCTTCCCAGAGGCCGGAGCGGATAGCAGGGAACGGATTGCAGCTGAGCTCCCCCCCCCCCCCGATTCAGACCACGAGGAAGCGCGATCTCGCTTACCCGGGAAGCGAAGCGTCCGGAGGCGGTCGGGCAGGAGAGTAGCCACGGGGTAAGCACAATGGGCCTTGCGGAAGAGGTCGGGAGCAGCGCCGGGCCCTCCTGCCGCTGAGCCCGAGGAGGAGGGCGGAGAGGAGGGCTGCCCTCGGGCGGCGGAGGCTTCCAGCTCAGTCCCAGGCTCCTCTTTCCCCGCCCCGATTATTCCACGGGAGGAAGAGAGAATCCCAAGGGAATTTGCATCTCCAACTGTGACTGCAACACAGTCCATCTTTGGAGACGCAAATGCAAGTGGTGAGAGGCTGATGGGAAGGAAAATGTTAATGATGAACAGAACCAACAGCAGTTGTGGGTCAGCTGAACTATTAGCTAGAGGAGTGCCAGGATTTTTATAGAGATCCTCAAAGGCTGTGGGGTGCGGGGGGAGGTTGTGCACTGTGTGAAATGCCCTTAAGAAATTGTGCAATGTAGTGAATTCTGTGTCTTCTGCTAAATAGTAGTGGGTTAATCCTAAATGGTCATATCCTATTTTGAGAATTTGGGTGGAGGAGAATGTAAACGTTTGATCCCATCACTGGAGTTGAAAGGTCTTTTGTTTCTGCATAGGCTGGCCCCACCTTTCTTAATGGGCACAAAATATCTGCTGTGGGCTGTTAAGAAATGATTTCCCTTGGTTACTTTGGTTAACCAAA